TTTTATTTTATTTTTTTCTCTTATGTGCGTTCTGGACATCTTCTATGTTTTTTCCTTTTTTTTATTTCATTTTTGTCTTCTTTGGAAGACTTCCTTACCAAAAAATAACCAAATATGAAATAATTAAACAATATATTCCTCTCCCGTTCTCTCTTAAATCCCATTTGTCAGATTTTACACATTTCATATAAAGACAAACATCTGGCTAATCTAGTAATTTATTTCTTTTGTCATTTGTTTGTTTTTAAATGCATTTACATGGCAAATTAATCGAGAGACATTTGGAAACACGAGCCCTAGGGGTGAATTGGAATGCACTTGTCGCGTAAACTGATATTTCGGTCATCCACAAGCACAGCCACCAGTAAACACACGCGGGCGCGCGCGCGCACACATTGGGGAAGAGAGAGGGGAAAAGATGCGCACAAACCAGATCCGCTCGGTAACTTTGTGAGTACAACTTTTTGGAGTCAACAGCGATAAAGAGAGTGAGGGGGCGGAACCCTGCTGAGCCCCTGCGCTGAAAGACAGCCAATCGCTTCGTTCTTCTAACTGCCAGTCACCGAAATCCGTCCAATACCCGCAGTGCCATTTCTAAACTGTATTCCCCACTGTGTCCTCCAACTGTTGTATGTTCTGCCAATCGCTTGAGGACAGAGTGGGGAAAGGAGCAAGCAGAGTTAGAAGCCGGACAAAAGAACTTATAGAGCCCTTATGTACATATTTTCCTCATGTTTTAGAGCGCAAAAACAGCTGCGGTGAGCGCCGATGGACTTGTGTGTCTAAGTTATGGAACCCCCTTTAAGCAAGAGGAACCCGGCGATAAGATTAGCGGATTTGGCAGCAACTCAGCCCCTTCCTCATCAGAATATGACAGGCTTCCCGGGGCTAGGGGGGCATCACCCTCTCTCCCACCATGCCCACCTCCACCCTGGGGAGCTGGGCAACGACCCCGGAGTGGCACTCACTCCATTTGGACCCGAGCACATGGCACAGACAAATGCTCTCAAACTTAGCCCGTCTCAGCACATTCAGAGCCATCCCGAAGCCCAGACCGCGGCATCTTTCACTCCTGCTCAGACCACAGTGGGTTTCCCCGTGGCTCACCCCCACTCAGGCTACTCAAGCAGCAGGGACTTCATCCTCAGGAGAGAACTCTCAGCCTCTGCTATGCATGCACTTGGCGACCAGCATAGTTCCGCCTCCTCCCCTCATCACCATGGCATGTTCATCTCGCCAACAGGTGCTTACGGGCACACGGAAAGTGGGGCCCATTCACTTTTTACTGGACTCCACGAGCAGGCGTCCCCGGGCGCCCACCATCACCATGCCCTCAACGGCCAGATGCGCCTGGGTCTACCGGGGGACATCTACGGCAGGCCGGAGCACTTCGGGCACAGGCCGGAGCACTATGGAG